GCACATCCCTGGCTCAAAGGACCCACCTCTTACTGCCAAATTTCCAGTCCCTGCCCCAAAGCACGGGAGTGCCAGAGCTTCTCAAAAAGAAAGGTTGCTAGGATTTTAACACTGAAAAACAAAATATTTCCCCCTAGCCTTGTTCTCAGAAATGGCTGAACTGTTTTGGCTGAAAATTTACCCACACACAAAATTCAGCCTGAGGCAGATACACAGCATGGAACATTCCAGCTTGAACCATTAACATTTGGCAAACTTCTAAACAACTGAAAACAGGGTGTTATACTGGAAAGTGTTGGGCAACTTTAATAATAAGTGATGCCACCAGCCCAGCCCCACCTGTGACTAGTTTTAAAATCATAAGAACGGCCGTACTGGGTCAGACCATCTAGCCCAGTATCCTGTCTGCTGACAGTGGCCAATGCCAGGTGCCCCAGAGGGAGTGAACCTAACAGGTAATGATCAAGTGATCTCTCTCCTGCCATCCATCTCCAGCCTCTGACAAACAGAGGCTAGGGACACCCTTCCTTACCCATCCTGGCTAATAGCCATTAATGGACTTAACCTCCATGAATTTATCTAGTTCTCTTTTAAACCCTGTTATAGTCCTAGCCTTCACAACCTCCTCAGGCAAGGAGTTCCACAGGTTGACTGTGCGCTGTTTGAAGAAGAACGTCCTTTTATTTGTTTTAAACCTGCTGCCCATTAATTTCATTTGGTGACCCCTAGTTCTTGTATTATGGGAACAAGTAAATAACTTTTCCTTATTCACTTTCTCCACACCACTCATGATTTTATAGACCTCTGTCATATCCCCCCTTAGTCTCCTCTTTTCCAAGATGAAAAGTCCTAGCCTCTTTAATCTCTCCTCATATGGGACCTGTTCCAAACCCCTAATCATTTTAGTTGCCCTTCTCTGAACTTTTTCTAGTGCCAATATATCTTTTTTGAGATGAGGAGACCACATCTGTACGCAGTATTCAAGATGTGGGCGTACCATGGATTTATATAAGGGCAATATGATATTCTCGGTCTTATTCTCTATCCTCTTTTTAATGATCCTGTTTGCTTTTTTGACTGCTGCTGCACACTGCGTCGACGTCTTCAGAGAACTATCCACGATGACGCCAAGATCTTTCCTGATTCGTTGTAGCTAAATTAGCCCATCAAAGCTTAAATTCTGCAGCAATCAGGGATGTTTTCAGCTCTCACCTAAAATTGCTGAGTCTGCAATAGTCCTGTCTCTGTGTTTCCGTCCAGTGTCTTTGATAACTGCCAAACATGGAAGCGGAGCAGGACCCCATTGTGCTAGGCGCTGTACTAACATAGTACAAAGATGGAGCCCTGCCCCAAAAATATTTAGTATCTTTTCCAGTGTAAATGCCATATTCTCTGAGATCTATTGTGCTTCATCTCCTGAGAAACCGGCCATCTCCATCGAGCTGGGCCTCGTCGCCATAGCTTCAGGCTTCAGTTGTGAATGAGAAATGTTTTGGTCTGTTTGCATGCCTGTAAGGTCTGTAGGCCCCGGCTGGGGGTCATGGCCCCATTGTGCTAGGCACGTACACACACTGAACAGGACAGTCTGCCCCAGAGAGTTTACAGTGTACATAATGAGGCTTTTGTTATGCCACTGGATGAAGTGAATGTCTCTGTTCTCTCTGTTCTGGCAGACGAGCAGCAGTGTGGTGAGGAAGGTCCTGCAAACCTCGATCTTCCTAGCCTGTTACCAGGAGACTGGGAAGAGCTTTTCTCCAGTCCTGAGGAGGAATTGACGAAGGAGAGCCAGTCCAGCTCAGCGATGCTGCAGAGAAACCCTCCCGGGAGTGGGCTGAGGCGATCTGCTCGCCGTGGAAGAGATTTAATGAAAAATGTCTCTGAGGAAGCACACGCAGCAGAGGGGCCATACATATGCTGCGAGTGTGGGGAAAGCTTCCTAGACAAACAGCTTTTTGCCACACATCAGAGAATCCACGCATCAGGGGGAGCCTGCACTTCTCTGGAGCACGGAGAAAACATCAGACAGAAACCCAAAATCACAACTCCGCCAAGAACCCAGGCGCCCGTCCGTTCAAAACCCCCTAAGCGTCCTGAGCCAGAGAAAAGCTCCAATCTCAAATACGGCTTCGTAAAACACCAGGCAAACCATATGGTGGAGAGGCCCTATACATGCACTCAGTGCAGGGAGAGCTTCAGTCTGGAGGTGAGTCTTATCTTACACCAGAAACTTCACACGGGGAAGGGCGATGGGCCCCTGACGTGTACGTATTGCGGCAAGGACTTCCGGGACCTCTCCAAAGCGATCCGACATCAGCGGATCCACACGGGAGAGCGCCCGTATCAGTGCACGGAGTGCGGGAAAAGCTTCATCCGCAGGGATCATCTCCTGAAGCACTGGCGGGTCCACACGGGGGAGACGCCGTACCAGTGCCCCGTCTGTGGGAAGAACTTCCGCTACAAGGAGTCGCTGAACTGCCACCAGAAAATTCACACGCGGAACCCCCAGCCCCTGGAGGGCTCACAGCAGCTGGAGACGGGAACCCAGACCACCCTCCTCGGTGTGAAAAAAGAAAATAAACAGTAGCTCCCCCCTGGGTGGGGACTGAGGGGCTGTTGCATTTAAAATGGAAGAAAGCGTGTGAGGTGCAGCACAACGGCGAATGAACGGAAGCCACGGCCTGGCCTTGTGGCCGTGCTACAAAGCTTTGCTTCACTGACGTTTAAATGGAGTTCCTCTTAATAACTATTGGGGTGAAATCCACCCCATGCAGGGGGCCAGCAGGAGGCCTATGCACCACTTTAACCCTGTGGGGGTTGCATGGGACTTCATAGGCCTTGTGGACTTCACCCTTAGAGAATAAATGAGCTATTCCCCGAATTGCCAGCAGGGGTCAGCATTTAGCAGGTGTTTCCTCACCTACCCTGTTTCTGGTGCATATTTATAGGAGTGATATGGATTTTCAAGGTCATTGTTTCCCCCCACCATTCCCAGCCAGCAGATCTAGTAGAAGAGAAGAACTTGGCTGGGGAGGTGATGCAGGAGTGGGGAAAGGGACACACACAAAAACCCCAAGCGGGAAGAAGTGGATGCAGAACCGGTCCTGGAATGGGAAGCTAGAGGGGGTTGGAGCAGAGGGGACTAGTGGGAGGCAGATGGACATGGCTGAAGGCTGTTGGGTGGGAGAGTAACTCCAGAGGAGGATGTGACGGCGGAGATACTCTATTCTCATTCCACCCCAAGGGGGTGAAATTACTTACCAAGCAGGCTCTAGACTCTATTTTGGACTTGGCCCAATGGAAAGCTGCCTGTGATTCATTCATATGAACTTCCACTGAAGGTAATTTTACTGGTCACAAGGGTAAGTGACACAAGAGAGAGCAACTTCTGCTAAACCCTGGAACGGGTTGTTTTAGTTAATGATATATCAGAACTAGAATATTATTCTAAGATACAATAAAACATGTGGCACTATACTTCACAGTTGATCTAAGCTATTTAAATGTATGAAATAACTGACCCAAGTTTTTCAGACTTTTGTAAATATTGGTTGAATTATATAAGAAATAAGTGTTGTTAAGGAGTGACTGTAACTAGATGTCTCTTTCTCTGTGTAATGTCAGCTGCTGGTTTGTGGTTGTGTTTTTGTAATACCTTTTTTGCAAAATCTGTCAATACAGTGTTTCCATTCTGAAGCCCTTGTCCGGCGAATCAGTGGCTGGAGCTCTGTCCTCCCTCCTCGCCAGTCTCATCCTCTCCCCGCTGTATAGTTTGTTGTCCCTTTCCCCCCGCTCCCATGCCTGATGCTCGCTTGGCTGTACCTGTTAAGAGTTGCAAGTTTTCGTAGCACTTTCCTAGCAACCGAATTAGTTTGTCAATTGCATGGTCTGAACTAGCTCCCGCTTGTAGTCAATGAGAACAATATTGTCAAGGCCAAGCATTGAAAAATCATGTCACGCCCCCCCCCCAAATCATGAGATTGGTTTCAACATCCTGAGGTGTTAAAAGTAATAAACGATGGAGATGTGTGTGTGTTTTCAAAGCTCTTCATGACAATTAGAACCTTCCTTGTATTCCTAAGTGAAAGTGGTGAGTGGCAGGTCAGCCCAGGGCTCAGAAAGTGGGTGTTAAGAAAAACACCAGGGCCTGTGCGATGACCGCAACAAGAATCCTCCACTGCTGCTAGTCCGTGTCCCCGAAGGTGAAGCAGAGACAATCCCAGCGTTGCAGGCCAGTCAGAAAGGGACCCCTCCTGTGGTTCCCTGGGCAATGGTGCTGTGGGGGTTCTGGGGTCTCCCCCTGCATGCAGCCCTGCAGCCATCTCGTTCTGTATGGCGCTAAGGGGCGGCTCTGGGGCCAGTGCTGTATGGGGGGGCTCGAGCCGCTCCTGGCTCAGGGGATGTTGGTACCTCGGAGACGTTTGAGTGGGAGCTTGAGCGTCGCCGGGTGTCAGACTGCAGCAGGGGATTGGCACCGAGCGAACCTGCCGGCCCGGGGGGAGCGAACTCCGTCTGCTGGGGGCCCCGCACCTGCTGCCCACCCCCCCGTGGGGGCTACTCAGCCCCCCGCGCCCGGCCTGGCCCGGTAGGGAGCTGCGGGGACCTGTCCCGGCCCGAGCTCCAGGCGGCTGAACCGGGTTCGCTCAGACCGGCCCGAGCGACCAACGCGTGGGGCCGGGACAGAGCCGGACCCGCAGAGCCTCCGACAAGGCCCCGAGATCGGGATGCCCGGCGCCGCGATCCCCCCGCCGGCAGGGGCCGCTGCCGCCCCGCTCCTCCCCGCCGCTCCCGGGCCCCGGCAGCCAGGCCGCGGCTCCCTCCCGGCTGCGCTCGCTCTGCTCCGCCCGGCAGCGGGGCCGGCCCGTGGCGAGGCGAGGCGAGGCGGCGCCGGGACTCTGCCCAGCCCGGAGCGGGAGCGGACCTCGGGTTCGGGTTCGGGTCCGGATCCTGCCGCCCGGCTCGTTCCCTCGCCCGGGGCCCCCAGCCCGGCCAGCAGCGCTCCCCGGGCCGCGGTGACGGGCGAGCTCCGGGCCGGGACAAAGGGCCATGGCCGAGCGGGCCGCTGCCCAGGTAAGGGCCGGGGCGGGGAGCCGGGGCCGGGGCTTTGCTGCTCGGCAGCCGCGGGGTCTGTGCGGTCTCGGCCGGGCGCGGTGGGCAGGGTGCCCCGCACCCGGTTCCTGCCGCCGGGCCGCACGCGCTGGGGAGGGGCCCGGGACGGGGCTTGGTCCTGCCGGGGGCGGGGAGCAACTGGCGGCCAATGACACCGGGTCCGGGGACAGGTTAAACTGGGGCATCTGCTCCGCCTGCCAGCCCCGGAGCTTCGCCCTTTGTCGTTGCTGGGAGCCCGCGGAGCCCCCCGGGGCAAGGGGGTAGTCCCGGTCCTGGGCGCCCAGACCGCGGGGCCCGGGGGTTGCTAAGGGCACAGGCACAAGGGCACCGCTTCCTTCCCCTGCCCCCTTGGGCTGGGCTCTGGGACAGAGCGGGGATTTTCTCACCCTTCCCTTCGGCCCTAACACGTGTTTGGGGATCGGACCGGATGCTGCCCGAGGAGGCGTCGGGTAATGCCGCGTCCAGACGGCGCCGCCGCAGCTAAGGGCGGCTTGGCTACCCCTTCCCCCCAATGCTTGTATAAAGGCAGCCTGACCAGAGAGTCTGCTTTGCTCCTCTCAGCACCTTAGTCAATTGTATTTGACCCGCTAGCGAAAAACTTCCCAGCTCCGCCCTGGCTACACTAGGTTAGCTCTGACTAGAGCCCTCAACAATGCTGGCTCTGCTGGGCCTGAGAAGGTGGAAATGTTCCAGTTCTTGCTTTGCTGGGTCTGTAGGGTGGTTACAAATACTCAGCTGGTCTTTCAAGGGGGGGGGCTTTAGACAGGAGGTCTGAAACTTTTTCATGGTGTTGCCCACATCTTTAATCAGGTGTGTGTCTTGCGGACACCCCCCCCCTTCCTCCCACTGGCTGTCACCCAGCCCATCTCCTGCTGGTTTGCACAACTTCCCCGTGGCAACAACAGCAATTCCTTGCATGCAGAAATGATCTCAGGAAAGTGTTTCGCTGTTTGCAATTGTTCTGCTGGTGGCAGCGGTCCCTGCCGGTGGCTCCTGGTTCCTTTCCAGCAACTACTACTAAAGGCCGCTAGGCTTGGCTCTGCCTTGTTCCCTGCTCTTTCTACAAGTCATCAAGTTCTTCCTTCCAGTGAAGAGCCTACGTACCTGTAGAAGGGAGAAGGTGGAGCTCGCGCTGTGTGACCTGTCAGCTCTCCACAGATCAGCCGTGGTCCATGGGCCGTAGTTTGAGAACCTGCTGACTTAGCATCTGGGTTGTGTTTGCAGGGCTAGTGTGGTGTCTTTGTACCATTTTTTTCTTTCCACACTGGGCAAAACTGTTCTGAAAATCACAGACACAAACATGGAGTCCTAGGGCCCTGTTTGCTGCAGAATCCGATTTCAAAGCAGAAATGTGCCTGGTAGTTGATCTTTCAACCTTAGCTTCTGGAATCTCGTTACTTTTGAGTGCTTAACTTCTCCACCTGACCTTAGCATAACATCCTGCTTGTACTCTAGGAGGTTTTGTGTGTGCATTCAGTAAGACTAAAAATTGGGTCCGACAAAGCATCGAGCAGCCGGTAGCCTGGGAGCGGCTGTTGCTCTTAGGAGCTGATGTTGACAAAGGGAATGTGCTCCCAGCTCCATTTTCCGTGTCTTTCCATGCACACAGGCTCCAGAATGGGACATGGAGTCTCAGCACTGGCCCCTTTCACAGCCCCACGCTGTCCCCCGACGGACTTCTGCGAGAGAAACCCCGCTGCACACGGCGGAGATCTCCCTGACTCTAGTCGCTGCCGTTCAAGCTGTGGAGAGAAAAGTGGATGCTCACGCCATCCGGTTGCTGAATCTGGAAGGGAGAACAGGGACGGCTGAGAAGAAATTGATAGGTTGTGAGAAAACCGTGGTGGAGTTCGGGAACCAGCTGGAGAGTAAGTGGGCCGTGCTGGAGACTCTGATCCAGGAGTACGGGGTCCTGCAGAGGAGGCTGGAGAACATGGAGAACCTGCTGAAGAACAGGAACTTCTGGGTCCTGAGGCTCCCCCCAGGGACTAAGGGGGACGTCCCCAAGGTAACTATCTCAGCTAGTTAGATCATACTGATTAACGATGGAGGGAAATTATGAAGTCATTGAGTCAATTTCTCCTCCAGCCACGCAAGGGCCGATGTAACACCCCACACAGGATGTACAGGTATTAAGCTGATCAATTGTTTTTTGGCTAAGAAGCAGCATCTGCTTCTTGTTACCTTGTGATTCCATCCATCACCTGCCTCTCCTCCTCCCATTGTGTTCTGCACACACCAGTCACAACTCTGCCCTGGAGGGGCAGTGAGGTGTCTGGAGCAGGGAATCGCTTCTGTGCGATGTTGTAGTGCCTCTATAGACTCCACTCCTGACTGGGACCACGAGGGGCGATCACGATACAAAGAACTAGGATAGAATCGATGGCTAGAAATGACTTGAAAGTGGCTTCAGGTCATCCTTCACCCCTGGGTCCCCCAGCCAATTCGTGAGGGTCTGAAAATTGCTCTTTCATGTTAAGCCGTGGCGGTGTGGGAGACCCACGCAAACAGCAGGGAAACTGGCCGGCTTTGCAAGGGAGACGACGGAAATGCGACTCACGCAAAGGTTCTGTCGTGCACATAGCAAACAGGCTGAAAAAAGAGAGCGGAATATCCCTCCCCTCCCCAATCTCTTTCGGTTCTGGGCTCCGTAAGAGTTACGTATTAACAGGGAAGTGTGTGGTGGGGGGGTTAAATTGAGGGCACCCCTTTAAAGATAGAGCGTGATCTTGAACCGGATCAGAGCGTGCACTGGACTGGGAATCCGGAGAGTGGGGCTCTGTTCTTAGGTCTCCCACCAACCTGGTCTGTGACTTTGAGCAAATCCCTTCCCTTCTTGGAGCCTTTTCCCTTCCCGCCCTATGTCTGCCTTGTGAGCTCTGCGGGGAGGGGTCTCTCTTCCTGGGTGTGTATACAGCACGCAGCACCATGGGGCCCTGAGCGCAGCTGGCCCTTCCAGTAACAGAAGCAATGGAAGGGGAGTCAGACCCAGGTGATCTATAAATCGGATATAAACCAGCCTATGAGGGCACTGCAAAGCCCTGGACAGAGCTGATTAACCCCATTCTGCTCCTTCCTACCCACCGGCCAATGAAAGGAGAGGGATGAAGCGTGAAAGGGCTGTACTGCTGTGTGTTCTTCACTGGAGCGCGCCTGTCACTTACCATGCGACAAGGATCCTACTGCCGGGGCTGCTTCCCAGGGTGATTTCACCTCTTCGTGTAGGGCCAAGTGGGAGGAGGAGCTTTGACAGATCCGGCAGGGGACAGGGAATTCTGGAGGGGAAACAGGCCCAGATTGTCACGCCCTCACTCACATCGACGCACCTGAGTGCACGCCCTATTCACCAGGAATAAGGGTATCAGCATCTAGCCCTGGGTGACAGAAGGGGGTGAAACGTGATGATGTTTATTTCTTCCTCCCTGTGCGAGTTGCTCTGAGCAGTTTCCCCAGTAATGTGCTTAGAAAAAGAAGAAAAAAAGTTGTGAAGTGTTTCCGTGGCATGTGTGTGAAATATTCTCCCCTGGTCTCGTCTGTAGCGTCACATGACAGCGCCTGCTGCTGCCATTACGATTTGACAGCGGCTTCTGAGCGTGCAATGCTTGTGGTTGCAGGTCCCCGTGCCGTTTGATGACGTCTCCGTCTATTTCTCCGAGCCGGAGTGGGAGAACTTAGACGGAGGGCAGAAGGAGCTGTACAAGAACGTGATGAAGGGGAATTACGAGACCCTGATCTCGCTGGGTAAGGATCCTCTCATAAAACCTGTGACCTTTGAAGGACCCGCCTTGCTCTGGGGGAGGGATACATTCAGGTCTCTGCCTTCCGGTGGCTGTTGAGGGACTGTAAGACTCAAGTGAATTTAATGTCCTCTATGCAGCCTGGTGCCCTTCACCGGCAGGTTTCATGTGCTACAGGGCTGGAGGGTCAGGCAGCTGTTACCAGCTATTGAATTAAATGCTGGTGTCAATCCAGGAGGTTCCCGCTCCTTAGACCGCAGCCATCACAACTGACATGCTGCTTGGCCACTTCGTCAGAGGTGCGTAGGGGAGAATGGGCCCCATCCAGAGCACACGTGCACATGTGGGGCAGGGGCCTGGCCCAGCTGCTGATCCAGAGGGTCCTGTGCATGCCCATAGTGCTCTCCTCTCTCTGTTCCTTCCCTGCAGCTGGGCTAGGGGATCCGCGTGCCATTCCCTCCCTGCATGGAGGTGAGTCCTGGCGGCTGTCCCATCAGCTAGCGGCACCCTTTCTGCTTCATGCCCGGCTGGGGAGCAGTCGTGTGATCCGAGCCCACATGGAGCAAGCAGGGCTCCATTCCCTGTGGTTCCTCACTGACCCACTGGGGTGGGGAGAGCAGCTTTGCTGGTGTCGTGTTTGCCTCCATCCCTCTTCCCCATCCCATCGCCTTCCGCGACCAGAGGGGGCTGGTTTGAAAGCCGGTCCCGCTCCGTGTGCCGGGTAGCCGGTGAGTGTCGATATCTCTTCCCACGAACAGACTACGCCGTCTCCAAACCCGACATCGTGTCCCAGATAGAGCAGGGGGAGGAGCCGTGTGTCAGAGATCGGGAGGACTCCGAGAGCAGAGAGATCCCTCCGGAGCCCTGCTCGGGTGAGTTCTAGACAGCCTCACAAAGTGCTTTCTGGCCAGAGGCAGGAGAGAGCGAAGGCGCTGGGCTGAGCTGGGGGCGGGGAGGGGGGACTGTGTGCAGAGCAGATGAGCTGGGAAAGCCGTGAGTGAATGTTGCAGAGAGGGGAGTCTGGAGGGAGGCGGGAGGAGGAGAGGGACTCGCAGGGAATAGGGAACACGCTCGCACAGGCCGCAGGAGTGACAGCCGGGCAGACTGGCAAGGGAGCCACGGTGCAGAGCTGAAGGAGGCGATTGAAAGTGGAGCAGAGTTAGCATGTGGGTAAAGAGCCCATCACAGTGGGCCAGGCAGGCTATATTTCAAGCCCCTGGCCCACACGGGAGGGTGTTAATGGCTTTGCTCAACCCCCGATGTTGACCTCTGGCTGGGAGGGGAGGGCAGTTCACCTCCTGGGATCCAGTGGACAGGCCACTGGAGGGGAGTTAAGAAGCTGGCTGGATCCCATGGCTGGAAGTTGAAGCTAGACTGGAAAGAAGGTGCCATTTTTGCCGATGAGCGTAATGATCCACTGGAAGGCGTTACCAGCAGGCAGGGCAGGGTCTCCATCACTGACCATTTTTAAACCAAGGCTGGGGGATTTTCTAAAAGATTTGCTGTAGGGGCCGTTCTCAGGCCTGTGTGATGCGCACGGTCCGACTGGGTGATTCAATGGTCCCGTCTGGCCTTGGGATCTTTGCGGCTGTGTGGTCTGCAAGGCTGGGCTCTCCAGCGCGCTGGCTGCGTCCTAACGGCAGGGGGAGAAAGCCACTCGTTCCCAGCAAAGTTCTGCAGAGCGCAGCTGATCGCGGACCCCTCCCCTGAGATATGCAGTCAGCGATTTCCCTGCACCTGGGTGTTCCCCCCACACTCACACACACACACACTGTCTGCTAGGCACTGAGGCCAGCATACGCTGACAATGGAGGGAGATCTCCCCTCCCGAGGGCGCTGGTACAAACTGCCCACTCACGCTCTCGCCACCTGCCCTCCGGAAGAGTGCCGTGGTGGTTGAGATGCTGCTGGCGCCAAAGGGTGGCCAGCACCGATGGCACTGAACCGGGGCAGTGGGAGACTTGCCTGGAGCTCTGTGCAGACGAGGCCTTAGCTCAGTAAAACACTATAACTGGCCCCTCTTTCCCAGGGGTATTGTGAGGGGCTTGTTCAGCTCCCTGGCCCTCGCCAGCCCCAGCCCGTCCATGGGCTTGCATTGGGAATCCAGGATGCCGTAGTTTCAGGAGGTTGCCTCCATCCCCCGCCTATGCAGTGAATACAGCCTGGCTTCTCTTTGTTTTGCTGCAGATAGCAGGGTGGTGGTCAAAGTGGAGGAGGAGAGCCCTGAGGAGGAGCCGGAGAACATGGAGCTACAAAGGACGTTGCCGGAAATGGAGGTTTTCCAGTGTCCGGAGCAGGGAACAGCCCGTGAGGAGAGCCTGTGCAGCCCCGGGAGGGAGCCAGCGGACCTGCCCGGAAACGGCCTGGAGGAGCCGACTCGGTGCGGGACAGACCCCCAGGAGCTCAAGCCGTTGCTTGTTCACCTGCAGAGCCCCGCGGCAGCCAGGCTGTTCGTCTGCGCCGAGTGTGGGAAGAGCTTCCGCAGCCGGCAGCATCTTACCCTGCATCAGAGGGACCACGCGGGAGCAGGGCCCTGCCTGCCGCAGCCCAGGGAGAGCTTTGCCCTGAAACCCGGCCCCAGACCCCACCCCGGGGCCCAGGCGGGAGGCAAACCCTACAAGTGCTCCGAGTGCGAGCGCAGCTTCTGCCACAAGTCCAGCCTGCGGAAGCACCACCTGGCTCACACCGGGGAGCGGCCCTACACTTGTGCCGAGTGCCGGAAGAGCTTCAAACAGAGGGTGAGCCTGGTGCTGCACCAGCGGATCCACTCGGGGAGGAGCGAAGGCTCCTTCATCTGCACGCAGTGCGGCAAGTACTTCAGCCACCACTCCAACCTGACGCGGCACCTGCGCATCCACACGGGGGAGCGGCCCTACAAGTGCACCGAGTGCGAGAAGAGCTTCACGCGCAACCAGTACCTGGTGGAGCACCAGCGCATGCACGCAGGCGAGCGCCCCTATCACTGCGCCGAGTGCGGCAAGAGCTTCCGTTACAAGCGCTCGCTCTACTACCACCAGAACATCCACCCTGGGAAGGGCTTCCCCGGGCCGGGGCCAGGGCCAGGCCACGTGGGGTAACAGCAGGGCCAGAAACCATGCTCCGGGGGGGCTTACAGGGGGCTGCCTCCCTCCGAAAGCAACGCCCAGGAGCTCCAGCCGGCTGGCACCGCAGCACGCACTGCAGCGACTTTATCGCCGGGAGATTTTTACAGGAATGAAGCTATATTTTGAGTGCAGCCTTCTGTTAAGAGAAGTAGGCGTCAGACTGGTTTTAAAATGGAGGAGGCAGCGGAGGGGCCCTGTTCTGGACTCAGGGCCGGCAGAGCCTAGCTGGGAGGGAAGGATGAGGAGATGGGGGGTAGTTTGAAGGGGAGATGGGGCCCTCCTAGCCCCACCTCCATTGAGTTGTTCATGTTTCAGAGTAGCAGCCGTGTTAGTCTGTATCCGCAAAAAGAACAGGAGTACTTGTGGCACCTTAGAGACTAACAAATTTATTTGAGCATAAGCTTTCGTGGGCTACAGCATGGGGAAATAGATTCAATTAGTGCTATTTCCCCATGTTAAGTTCTCCTCGCACCTTCTGTGGGTCATCTCGATTATCATTTCAAAGGTTTTTCTTCTCCTGCTGATGATAGCTCATCTCAATTGATTGGCCTCTTCCACCTTTTCATGTTCTCTGTATGTATAAATAGCTTCTTGCTGTATGTTCCATTCTATGCATCCGAAGAAATGGGCTGTAGCCCACGAAAGCTTATGCTCAAATACATTTGTTAGTCTCTAAGGTGCCACAAGGACTCCTGTTCTTTTTGAGTTGTTCATGTGGGGCTGGGCACTGATTTCTCTGCAGTGTCCCAGCCCCTGTGTCCCGCTGTGCCTGAGTGGCAAAGGGCCCCGGCAGCATGGGAAGGGGGCGTCCACGCCTCAGGCCCTGGGTCTCCTGCAGCCACGGCCTGGGTTGGGGAACGCCCGCACCAGGCAGGGCTGCACCCAGCTCAGTTTTAGCGGGTGTTGCCTGGGGATCCCCCGGCTCATGAATATTCAGATATTCGGCTTCCTCAGTTTGCTGCCCCGTTGGAGCCTGGGAATCTGTGCGGGATCCGTGTATTCTCATAGCAGGGGCCGTGGACGACCCAGCCGTGATCCTCTAGGAATCTTGCTCGGGATTCCTTCCTTCCCTGGCCTCTCCACAGTTTGTTCCTGTGGTGATCCTCCTTGCAGGTAATTTCCCCACCTGCCTGCTGTTTGGCTGGGGCGCCCTGTGATGGTCCCTGGGGCACCTTGTTACCACCTGCCCTTAGCGTGGGGAAGCTTGGTCTGTGCCTGCCAGGGTTCAGCTTCCCAACGCCAGCGGGCAACACAAACCCTCCCTGCTAGGCCAGGCAGGACCCACTTCCTCTCTGATGGTTACCGATAGGCCCCCTCGAGCCTGCAGCGTCTCCCTGGAGTGTCCAGCCCCGGGCCTGCCGGCCACTCGCAGGAGTCACGGATTTGCTGTTTCCCAAGAACCAGCCCGCCCTCCAGCCGCCCCTCAGTTCGCCGCTCCGCGTCCCACCCAGCACATGGGGAAATCGAGGATAAGGTTATTTAACGAAGCCCAGAGCGTCAAGCGATAGCAGAGGGTTCCAGCTAAAATAAAATCATAAGCAGTGTTGTAGGACCTGGCCTTTTCTTTCCCGAGAGCCCCCACGGCTGGGAGAATATTGCTCACCCCCCACTAGCTGCTTGCCTCCGAGGTGAGGGGTTCCGTGTGGTTCTTTGCCCCCCAACCTCGACCAGTCCCATCCTTTGTCTTTATTCATAAACAGGACGTCAGCTGCTGTTTGTGTCAGTGTGTGCAGTCTGCGCGAGAGGACAGTGGCTCAGTGTGCAGCCGGGCCCGTGGTGTGAGCTGTCCCGTCACACACGGCTCTGGAGGGAGAGCGGGGTCTGCTACCTCCTGCCTGAAAAGAGCATTTCCAAGGTGTGTCGCCTCCTGGTGACCTGCCTTGTTCCCTCCAAGACCCTGGGAAGTCCAGAGCCAGCTCTCCTTCACTATTCTCCGTACATACGTCGTGCAGTGATTCTGATGTCCGGTAGGTTACTGGCTCTGAGTAGAGACCTTCGGTGCACTCTGAGGCGTACATCCGACCTAGGGGATCCTTGCAAACCCTGGGCCCTCTGCCCAGTGGCACCAAGGAGTCTGCGGGTCACAAGCCCCTCTACTTTGTAACCTTCCTCCACCCCATCTGTAAGGCCATTTCAGCGAGATGGGGCAGAGCGCATCGCCTGTTGCAACTCAGGCACAGATCCGACCCCGTGTGCTTCCGCGTCACTGAGCCAGGCATGGCTTCCACGCTGCCTGAAGCACATGGGAGCAGAGCGCCCTGGGGGACGTGGCCCGAGAAGGACCAAGGTGGGTGGGATGAAGCAGAGAGAGTATAGCTAACACCATCTAGAACTTAGGAAAATAGAATGGAATTATCCTGGCTGTGGAAGTTACCTCAACTGGAGGGAACTTCATGGCGCAGGGCGTTCCCCCCCTGCCGTCAGTGACTGGAAACAAGGGCAGAAAGCCAGGAGGGAGGAACTTGGTGGGTTGGAAGGTCCATGGGATGAAGTTCTCACAACAGCCTGGGAGGTAGGGCAGGGCTATTACCTATTACCCCACTCTACAGCTGGGGAAACTGAGGCACGGGCTAAGTGACTCACCCAAGGTCACTCAGGAAGTCAGTGGCATAGCAGGGAACTGAACTGAGGTCACTGAAATCCAAGGCTGGTGCCGTAGCCACTGGGCCATCCTGCCTCTCATTGCCATTTGGAGACGGGGAGAGGAGGGCAGGTTGATTGCAGCAAGAGTCTGGTCTGGGCTCGATTTGTTTTTGGCCACACGGGATGGTAAAAACAATCCACCCAGCCTCATGACTGAATCCAGTGCAACTTGCCCCCGGCCTGCTGCAGTAGTCCGGCTCGCAGTCTCCACGGACGGCCACCAAGGGCTGGTTGGTCACCGAAGGATTTCTGTGCTGGGGGCAGCCCGTTGGCACGCTGCTAGTTAGCGTCTGCCCGAAACAAAAGCGAAGACGGCTTTGAAGTGACCCCGCTAACCAGGCTCTCCAAAGCGTGCAAGGAGAGATAGAGGGAAGCTGTGAACCGGCTGTGACTGGGTAGGTTCCCCTCTGGGTCCTGTCAGGTGCTAGTCTGTATCTTTTACCTTTCTGCAGTTTTCTCCACGCTGACCCCCTGGTTTCCTTGAGAGCGCCCACCTCATACCCCTCCCCCACTGCTGATCGGATACCCCCTTCCTTTCTGTAGTTTCCCCCCACACTTACTCCTCCCCCATGACCAGTGTGAGCTGTGGAGGTGGCTAGCTGTGTTTGTGTTGGCTGTTTAGACTGTAACTTCTTCGGGGGCAGGAGCCGCATCTTCTGTGTCCTGGCACTTAATAAATGATGATTATTCCCCGTACGGTGTTGTCTGTTTTGACAGTGTAACGAGAGCACACCTAAACCCTAGCTAGGCTGAGCAGCTCTCCTGAGCTGCTTCCAGGGGAAGTGAGGAGCAAGGCAATGAGGTGGGGGGCTAGATGGGAGGGCTGGAGAACTGCAGGAGAGGGGAGAAAGGAGGGGGCAAACTTTGGAGAACAGGGAGGGGGATCTCGACTTTGGAAACCCGTAAGCCCACGCAGGGTCGGGGGGAGATAGAGAAGGCGAGAAAAGAAGAACATGCAGGGGAAGGAGAAAAAGGGGTGGCATATGGCAGGAGAGGGGAGAACAGACCATGCGGCTCGGGGGAGCCCTGGAATAATGTTCTCTGAAGCTTGGTGGGGAAAAACTGACAGGTAGCCCAGAATTTTGGCCACCCACAGCAATAACACATCCTGCAGTGGGGTGCGTTTAGATGGACCCTTATGCCTGTGTGGATCCCCCTGCAAGAGCAAGGCCTGGGTTTTAATTCAATACAGAACATAACAGAGAAGCTACCTCCATCCCTGGCAGAAGAGCTGGTGAAACCCACCACCAGCCAGCAGGAGCAAGGATGGCGCATGGTCAGTTTTCAGACCAAACAACCTTGTGCCCTTGTTGTGGGTGTGGCCAGTTTTCTCACTGGTCTGTGCTGGCCCTAGGAGGCCCCTTGCGAGGCGTCATCATCACAGGGGTCTTAGCTGCCAGATAGTTCTCCCTGAAGCCAGGGCCGGCTCCAGGCACCAGCCCTCCAAGCATGTGCTTGGGGCGGCACCTGGAGGGGGGCAGTGCTCACCCGGGGAGAGCGGGGCCGTGGCCGGGCTCGGCGCCCTCCCCTGCCGCGCTCCCCGCGGGAGGGCGGCGGGAGGCTTTTTTGCCTGGGGCGGCAAAAAAGCCAGAGCCGGCCCTGCCTGAAGCAAACAGCATCAGCCGTCGTCTCCGGTCGATGCCATAGGAGCTCGTCCTTTTTCCCAATATCTGGGAGAATTGTTCAAATAAAATCGTCTCTGCCAACTGGGCCTCCTGTTTTCATCTCAGGTCTGAGGGTGATCAGACATGGCCGTCTTCCCGGAGGATCCCACTCCTTCTGGAAACATAGCCAGAACGTCTCTTCCCCGATGTCCAGAGCGTTAACGGCTGCTTTGATTTGCACATAATCTCGGGCAGTAACCTGGTCTAAAGCGTGATAAGCCATTTGCACCATCCCGGTTAGGTACGGGGCCAGCAAGCCTGCCCATTGGTTCGACGGGCCACCAGGCTGCTGTGACACCCTGCTGAGGTTTCAGGGAAGGCCAGCAGGCCCTATCTTTGTAAGCCTGATGGGAATGGGGGTCGCTTCCAGATCGAGGCTCATTGGTCCTGCTGTAGCGGGCAGCCATAGCATGGTGACCACCTGTTGTACAGCTGCTGCTGTTGGGGTGTTAGATCATGGATTAACTGCTGCTGCTTTTCCATTCAAACCTTTCTCTGATGAAAAATTGCCTGGTTTTTAACCTGAAAATGTACACAAAAGGCTTTCTTTTCTCCTGAACTTCTTCAGGTTCTGTTGTTGGTTTTTTTGGTCCAAACTGCAAATTTCATGTTTTGCTTTTCTCCTTTTTTTGCCACGAAATGCCAGAAATCAAATAAGTTCTCAGGTTGGGACTCCCACCCCGCCCCCCCTGCATTTTTTTATTCTTTCTTTTGCCACATACTCACATCCCCAACTCTAGCCAGAGGAAAAAGGAGACCACGTGTCTCTGCCGTGCTGTAGCTTTTCCAGAGTTGGAAAGTCACGGATGAGCAAAACGAAAAGTGGAGAAAACCCAAAGCCTAGCCATTATTACACACACTAGCAAGAAGGAAAAAAGAGAGCGAAAACAGCAAATCTCCTTTTTTTTTAAATAGTATGGGAAGATTTTTAGAAAAAATAAAAATTGTTCTATTTTGAATCCTGACAAACGGCAACAACTTTGAAATTTTTGCAAAATTTTTTTCTACTTTTTGACCAGCTCTTATAAGAATGAAATTCATTGACAGAATCAGTCCCATCCAGTTTGCCAGTGCTGGATATGAACCTGCAAGTAGATGAAGCCAACTGCTTATTACGGATAACTTCTTACTCCAGAACACCTTGCTGTCCCCAAAGCACAGGACCTTACGTGACATACTCTCAGCCTTTAAATCCTGGTTAAATACCTATTGGTGTGTACTCCTAGGTACTTCATCATCAGTGAGATCTGTGTGTGTGAATGTCTTTTCCTTTTCTGTTAATAGCAAGGGTTAAATCCAACTGTGATGGTGCACCCCATAATGCTTTATGGAAATCTGCTTATGAATATATATATATGTATATATGACATAACTAGAATATGTTTTATGCTACATATGCCATGTAACATCTCTCTGCAAATGTTATGATGTACTGAATCTATTCATCCTAGTTGTAGGCACGTATCATTGTTGTATTCGAAGTTATGAATATTGACTGTGTACTGGTTTGATTTTAAGTAGCCTCAGTAAGGCATTTGGTCAGCTTCTTTAGAAAGGGATTTGCAAGGTAAGTGCCCAATCAAGAAACACTTAACAGACAATGGGACCTTGGAAGACTCCAATCCACATAAGAAGTCTACCTGGGGATGTTCAAGGTAGCATGTGGGCAATGGCTGCCACCTATAAAGTTCTGAGTCATGCATGGACATGTGACTTGCCCATGTGACTCCAAAATTCCATTTTGCAGCTGGATTCTGCCTAGGAGAGAGGAAGGGGTCTCCACTCACAAGAGAAAGTCTATATACAGCTCTGGGAGACCCCTCCATTTTGTCTTCAGCTGGCTCAAGAGGCAGCCTCTCCACCCCCATAGGATACCTGAAAGAAACTGGCACAAAGGACAGTAACTACAGGGGGTGTGAGTGTTGCTGGACCCAGACTAGAAGGAGACTAGTCTGTAAAAGAAGCTTACTGGAACATCTCTGAGGGTGAGATTCCATCTGTAATCACTTTCTTACTGTATTAGGAAAAAGAACAGGAGTACTTGAGGCACCTTAGGGTATGTCTACACTACGAGGGTAATTCGATTTTACTTAAATCGAATATGTGGAATCGATATTGCAAAGTCGAACGTGTGTGTCCACACTAAGGACACACTAAGGACAGTAATTCGACTTTGTGAGTCCACACTAACGGGGCGAGCGTCGATATTGGAAGCGGTGCACTGTGGGCAGCTATCCCACAGTTCCCGCAGTCCCCGCTGCCCATCGGAATTCTGGGTCGAGCCGCCAATGCCTTCTGGGTAAAAAAAATTTGTCGTCATCCGTCCGTCACTAACGCCCTCCCTCCCTCCATGAAAGCGCCGGCGGGAAATCAGTTCGCGCACTTTTCTGGTCAGTGACCGCGCGGACGCCACAGCACTGCGATCATGGATCACGCTGCGACCATCGCTGCACTTGTGGCCGTTCTCAACACCTCGCAGCTTATCATACACCTTTCCCTGAGGCAGATGCAGAGAAATCGGGCGAGGAGGCTACGGCACCGCCGTGAGAGCCTGAAGTCGGAGAGTGGCACAGAGCTGTCAGAAACCACGAGCCCCAGCGCCCAGGACATCACGGTGGCAATGGGGCATGTGGATTTTGTTGAACGGCGATTCTGGGCCCGGGAAACAAGCACGGACTGGTGGGACCGTATAGTGCTTCAGGTCTGGGATGAATCCCAGTGGCTGCGAAACTTTCGCATGCGGAAGGGGACTTTCCTCGAACTTTGTGAGTTGCTGTCCCCTGCCCTGAAGCGCAAGGACACCCGCATGCGAGCAGCCCTCACTGTCCAGAAGCGAGTGGCCATAGCCCTCTGGAAGCTTGCAACGCCAGACAGCTACCGGTCAGTCGCCAATCAATTTGGTGTGGGCAAATCTACCGTGGGGGTTGTTGTCATGCAAGTAGCCAAGGCAATCGTGAAGGTACTGCTCCCAAAGGTTGTGACCCTGGGAAACGCGCAGGTCATCATAGATGGCTTTGCCGCGATGGGATTTCCAAACTGCGGAGGGGCTATCGATGGGACTCACATCCCTATCCTGGGACCGGACCACCAGGCCAGCCAGTACATCAATAGAAAGGGCTACTTTTCAATGGTGCTGCAAGCACTGGTGGACCATCGGGGACGGTTTACAAACATCTACGTCGGATGGCCGGGCAAGGTTCATGACGCTCGTGTGTTCAGGAACTCTGGTCTGTTTAGACGGCTGCAGGAAGGTATTTACTTCCCAGACCACAAAATAACTCTTGGGGATGTGGAGATGCCTACAGTCATCCTCGGGGACCCAGCCTACCCGCTAATGCCCTGGCTCATGAAGCCCTATACTGGCGCCCTGGACACAGAAAAAGAACTGTTCAACTACCGTCTCAGCAAGTGCAGAATGGTGGTGGAGTGTGCTTTTGGCCGTCTCAAAGGGAGATGGAGAAGCTTACTCACTCGCTGTGATCTCAGTGAAACCAATATCCCCATCGTTATTGCAGCTTGCTGTGTGCTCCACAATCTATGTGAGAGCAAGGGGGAGACCTTTATGGCGGGGTGGGAGCTAGAGGCAAATAGCCTGGCTGCTGATTACGTCCAGCCAGACAGCCGGGCCATTAGAAGATCCCAGCGGGACGCCCTGTGCATCCGGGAGGCTTTGAAAGCTAGGTTCCTGAGTGAGCAGGGCAACCAGTGACTTTTCAGTTTGTGGACAGA